CCTTCAGCCTTACTAGATGACGTTGGCTTTGAGCTATCCTCCGTATGCTTTTTGTCTTCTGGAGCTCGCTTCAACTTAGGTAGATGTGCAGAAATTCTATTTTTAGCTCGGTGGTACTTTTCCTTGCTGTGCTAACAGAATCATCTCCGACTGGTAGTTTGAGGTTTAAGGGCGATACAACATCGGACTCGGGCCTTACGTTTCTGCGAGGGTTTAGAGATTTTCACGAAGGCTCCATCAACCCTAATGAAGGTTAAAATACTTAAAGGTTATAATAAGATGTTACAATGGGTTCTTCTCATTGCAGTCGAAGTGGGCGATCGTAGCCGATTACGTTATGGGTTCAGTGTAGTCGGTGTACCAATGCAGTTTCTGAAGCGAGACTGCCTACTTTAATGATGAACTGAACTTGGCGAGGGAGTTGAAGAGAATGAATGAGCTCATTCTAGTAAGATCCAACACAGAACACGCGGGCCGTGAAAACAAATTGTCATAGTGCGCATGAACAGGAAGGGCGCATAGCACGGAAAGGAGAAGCGGGAAGGGGCAAAAAGAAAAGACAAAAAAGAAACAGCTGGAGCTGCGGGGAATCGAACCCCGGACCTCTCCCATGCTAAGGGAATATTATACCACTAAACCACAGCCCCTTTGCTGTTGAAGACCTGCTTGTTATTCTGTGTTATGAGCAAAGACATAGGCTATCAGAGTTGTTGGGGCCATAACCATCCTCTGGATGATTACAAATTGCGCCAGTTATAATAACTACCTACAAAGTCGTCTACGGTGTAAGCAGGGTGGATTTGAGGGATGGAGACTCGGAGTTTACGGATGATGCCGGTCTATCTCCTGGTGATGTTTTCGATGGATTTTCTTATTTCTAAGCAGCAGCAGGATGGCAGTGATTGAATGGCCCACATTATAGCTTTGACCCAGGTAAATTTGGCAAAGACGGAGCTCCCTCGTTTACGATCAAGCACTCCCAGAAATATAAAGCCCTGTAGAATCCCCTGCAAAGCCAGACAGATATTCATCGCATCTCTCTTCACATTCAGCTTACAACCAAACCAATTCACCACATCTTCAAGCACCCGCCATGCCCATCTTCGACGTAACAGCCACCAGCGAACAGGTCATTGAAGCCTTCAAGTCCAACATCAAAGGCAAGACCTTCGTCATAACCGGTGCCGGCAAGCCCAGCATTGGCAGCCAGATAGCCACATCTCTAGCCAAAGCTGCACCAGCACACATCCTCATTGCCTCACGCACCCTCAGCAAAGTCCATCCCGTGCTCGACGAGATCCACGCCATCGACAACACCATCAGGACCACCGCAGTACAGGTGGACCTAACCGACCATGAATCCGTCCGTCGCGCCGCAGACGAGATCCTCGCCGCGGCACCCAATATCGATGTCCTGATCAACAGCGCCGGGGTGATGGCAATCAAGGAATACACCCTCGACAAGCAGGGAATAGAGCTACAGCTCTCGGCCAACCACGTCGGCCACTTCTTACTTACCAACTTGCTCGTGACAGCCCTCGAGGCTGCTGGCTCCGCCCGTGTAGTCAATCTAACCAGCTCCGGGTACCTTATCTCGCCGTTCCGCTTCGAAGACTGGAACTATTCAGATGGAAAAGAATACGACCTCTGGACTGGGTACGGACAAGCTAAAACAGCCAATATCCTATTCACATATGGTCTGGCCCAGCGACTACGGCATAAAGGAATTGCTGCTATCGCCGTCCATCCAGGCTATAACGGAGACACTAGGCTGGGAAGTCACCTCACTTGGGACGATTTTACCGGGATCTCTGCAATCGCGGTACGGAATACCAGCAAGGAGTTTGTTTTCGAGGAGCCGCGGTTCAAGACGTATACTCAAATTGCGGCGACGCCGTTGATTGCGGCGCTGGATCCGGGGTTGCAGGCTCTGGCGCCGGTGTTTATGCAGAATAGTGCGGTTAGTGAGGCTGCCGAGCATGCGAGGGATCCGGGAAGTGTGGATGCTTTGTGGAAGTTGAGTGAGGAGCTTGTTGGGGAGGAGTTTCGATATGAGATTCTTCAATGAACAAATGGGGAGGGTAGCTTTCTGGTGGCGTTCATGCACCCTACAGCTTTCAAGAAGGTGTGGTATTATCGTCCACTCCATATATCTGGCAGAGGCAACTGGACTGTGTATTTAGCTGCCTTTCAATCAGATTCCCCCCGTTATAACATTGTGGCACGTCACTATACTCTGAAGACAGATGTAGATTTAGTTTTTGCATAATGCACGTTGTTTTCACATTTTCTCGGCTTATGCAAATTTCCCAACCATTATTACATCCATTACCGTGCATCATGCTGAAGTTCAAGAGATGTGTAGTCTGGAGTCAAGCTCCAGACAGAAGTTTCTGCGCGTTCCCGAAATAGACCATATCCCGAAGCTCCTCGTTCATATGAAACGCATCTAGATTCTCCCGGTAACCAGCTACTTTGATTGGGGGAGCGTTGGGATAATCGGATCCTATTACTCTTTTTAGCATCTGGTGTTACATGCCAGCCACAAAAATACTCACCATACATAATATGATCATGCGGTATTAAGTCCAGCAAGAGATTCAGGACTGCTGGCGCACTCGAAAGAGCGAGGTCGTAATGAAACCCACGCAATGCCTCCATAAATTCAAAGTAGGTCTTTCCATAGGGACCCTTTTGGGCCATCGTATCCCTAGAAGTTACAGTCAGGCGCGAGATCAGATACGGCAACGTCCCACCCGCATGCGATAGGATCTTGGGACAGTTCGGGAACTGCTGCGTGACGTTGTTAACAATCATATCCACGGCAGTCCGTGTAGTCTCCTGTGGGAAGTCAAGCATGGGAGGTGGCATAATCGGATCAATCCAATCAGAGTCCTCAGGCATAGTAGGATGGATATGAACCACGGTTTTCCGATCATCCAGTTCCTTCCAGATGGGTGTGAACTGAGAATGACCTAGGTAGTTGTTTCCATCGCCGTATCGAGTGAATACGGTGACCCCGTCGGCTTTGAGTGTGTCGAGGGAGTACTCGATTTCAGCCAATGTACCAGGTACATCCAGGAGAGAAGGCAGCGCGGCGAAGAATCCGAACCGTTCGGGGTACTGGTCGCGCAGGTTGGCGGCATATTCATTGACCCTTCGGGCTAGCGACCGAGCAGAGTCGTTGTTTCCAGTAATGACTGCACCTGGTGTAGTCAGAGACAGTATGGCTTTTCGGACGCCATTATCCTGCATGTCCTGGAGAGAGTCCTCGACGGTCCATGCGGGGACTGGCAAGCCTGTTGGGTCGCCGCCTGCATCTTCAACGGCTGGATGTGCGTCACACTATTAGTGCGGGGTTTTCATTCAGTTCAAGTACGCCCACGTACCCTGACGAAAGAAATCGGGGACGAAGTGATGGTGGATATCAATCTTCTGCGGTAGCCGCTGGGCGAGGACTGCACTGCCATTGTCCATGGTGGTCGGATATCCCGGACTTATGCCACCGGTAGACATACCTAGGAAGCTTGCAATGCCGGTGGGTAGGTAGGTGAATAGATGCATTATAATCACGGCTAAGAGTCATCGATTCTCAGTTGCTAAACCAGGTGACTTCGTGACTTTGGTGCAGCTTGGGCTGTTGTTTGTTGCGCAGCTGTACCCGATCCCTTGCATAACTGCCAATTACGGATCCCGCGGACTTTTCTCCCTCTTTCTGCTAATTGAGCTGGCATGACAGGTGACTTTTTTTATACTTTTCTGTGTCATAACTACACTGGTCGCAATTTCTTATCGTCGAGTTTTGATGATTCCGTGATGCTAGTAAATAGTAAGTACCAGCGAAAATGAAACCTTCCATAAGTTGTGCAGGGAATATACTATATAATCACTGCTAGCAGAGTCGATGTAAAAGTAATTATGGAATGACAACGCTAAAATCAAGCTATTGTCATTAACTAACCTCGGAGATACAAAAAGCATGCTAGAGTCTATCTAATTGCAAAGATAGTGGCCTTTTACTGGCAGCGCAGCTCGTGGTGGGCTATGATGGCCATTCACCAGCAACGATAAATATGATGGATGAGCTGCGAGTACTTGAGACATAGTGCTGTCTCATAGAGCAAAAGTTACAGGCGTTCTTCAACAAAAAGGGGCTGTGGTTTAGTGGTATAATATTCCCTTAGCATGGGAGAGGTCCGGGGTTCGATTCCCCGCAGCTCCATTTTTTGTGTTTTTCTTTTTGTCCTTATCGATTCGCTTAGCTTATGCCTATTTATCGTCAGACGACTATTCCTAGTTTGTCCACGTTGCAATGCCATTTTCCGCCCAGGCGACACATCTTTACATTGTCCAGAGCACCCCTCCCCAAATGCTGTGCCTCGCTGTCGCTCAATCCAAAAACTTCTCCACTGCCACCACACTGCCAATGGTCTGGTCATAGCATTCACAACCGATATCCCTTGTCAACCGCCTAAGACCTTGAAAATGACCAAAGGCCAGTGATGGCCTACACATGCAAAATTACAATGGTGTCACCCTTTGTACAGGAGTTATCAGCGATGAGTGTATCTAGAGGGTGCAAATAGCCTCGTCTTATTCCAACATCGACCAGGGTACGATGGCACATTCGAATTATCGGGTAGCTTCTCGAAAAAGGAAAAGTAATCGTTCATTTGTCCCCCAGTCGGAGCGAGAAGTTCATACGGCCACAGAACAATACCGACATTGGATTTTGGCGAACTTCAAAACCAAGGTAAACTACTACATCCAACTGCCAGAATTCCCGAGTTGAGCCATCACGATTCCGACCATCCCATTCAAGCCACAGGGGCGCAGATGCATCGCATGATCAACGCACAATGTAACCTTGTCCTCTTGTTGCTCGAAGCACAACATAGCTAACGAACACTTACCTCAAAACCACTGCCCACGATCTAACCTGAGCCTCGTGGCCTAAGACGACACATGGCAGCAATGAATAGAACCCCCGCCGAAATTCACTTCCTCATGACCAGCCGGCCTATCTGCGTAACGTCAACACAGTGACTTGACAGGGATAGCCTTTGCGGCGGGATAAAAACAGAACAGCAACCCGGGGTGGCTGAGACACCAATCAACTCAAATATCAGATCTCTCAAAACCTCGGGCCCCCCTGCTGAGGATCAGTGCTGTTTTTATCATCATCTGTGCACGCCGAGTAAACGCATTTCTGAGATGAGGCTGCAACGTGATTTCGACGGAATCGCATACCTCATATATCTTCTGCTCGCTCTTCAATGCAGATGTCTCGCTCGAGCAGAGAGCTTCACCTATCCGACAGCAAAGGAATATCAGTTCATCGTGGGAGACCTGGTCAATGTATCCTGGGACGTGGTGACATCGCGTGTTTCTCTCTATGAAGTGTGCAACACCAAGATTCCCTTGCTATGTCGGTACACCTACAACTGCCACCGCTGGATCTGGCTGATGGAATCACAGTAAACGTCACAAACCCCTACAGCCATGTCTGGAATGCAACCCGGGACAAATACAGAGAGTCTGGCTGCGCGTTCGAGCTCGATTCACTGGATATGTTCGGTATTCTCAACCCACCAGTACTCACAAGTGTCAAAATCGGCGTGAGCAAGCGTCAGAAAGATGATCCTCCACCAGAGTTTTATAACTTGTACAACCCATCTAGCAGTACGTCCAGCACTACTTCAATGAAATATACCTCGAGTGCTACTTCAGCAACGTCCACCTTCACGACTTATTCACATGCTACAAACACCGCAGCGGGCGAGACATCAGCAGCGTCTTATAATTCAGCTCCAGCTACTACCGATACAAACAGTGGTCTTACTGTCGCACAGAAGGTTGGGATCGGCCTCGGGGTCCCGCTAGGAGTGCTGGCAATATCCACCGTCGGGGCCTTAGCCTTTCTGTATCAACGTCGATCGCAAAGGCGGAGCGGCTTGGACGACGTCCCGAATTCAGACCAACCCACATCCTCTGGGCTGGTTGAAGCGGCCAAGGCTCCATGGGATCCTCGCATTTCCAGGGCGGAAACAGTAATCGCAGAACTGCCTTCGCCGTCCTTCGACATGGAAGGAATATCAGAGGAGGTGAATCACCGACCGATAAGCGAAGTAATGGGAACTCCTCGGAGTGAGCTTAGTACGTGAGTTGAGTTTGCGTGGGATGTACATAATGTGCTATGATGATGACTATCTGAGCAGCTATGTGGCTGCATATGGTCCATGTCTAATAAGTAATGTTTGCCATTTGGTCACTTAATTGATATCAACCTCTGATACGGACATCACGTAGCAGTAGAATATTAAGTGAGTACTATAATACTCCAGAAAAAGACTTCACTCTCGAGCAAGTCCACTAAATAATCATCTGAAAATGCCTGTCAAAGAACATTATAGGGATGACATCCCCACGCAAACCATCCAACCCACATTACAACACCCCTAACCAATTACTTCAACCCATAATCCTCCTTAACCAAATCCGCCGCTCTCTCAGCAACAGCATACACCACCGCCGCCAACGACGGACTCACCATCATAGGCACAACACTCGCATCCACAACCCTCAACCCCTTAACCCTCTTGACCCTCAACCTTTCATCGACCACCATCCCCAACGCACAAGTCCCAAGCAAGTGCTGAAACGGCACCGCGTCCTCCCTAACAAACTCCTTCACCTGCTCCCTAACACCAACATCCACCCCCGGATCCGGCCTCACCCTCCTCGCAACCTTACCCCTAACCAACTCCGACCGAAACACCTTATCCGCAAACCCCACCCCCGCAGCAAGCACATCCACATCAGCTGGATGAGCCAACAGCCCGGGACTAATATCCGGAGCTTGCATCGGATCATCCGACACCACGTGCACCCGCCCGCGAGAAACAGGATGCATCTGGCTCATCGTGATAGAATAACAATCATTAAACCCAGACGGCGGACCGGACATGACTGCCCCAAGATTATCGACCGCGTGAGCGGTATCGAAGTTCTCAGGCGCGCACATGTACTGGATACAGGGACAGGTAGGATCTTGAATACGTGCTGCGATGATTTTCCGCTGTTCGTTCTGAAGAACGGTGTCCTGTTTGGTTGATGCATTCTTGGGATCCAGGAAACACGCAACTGTTTTCTCGAGGTCATGCTGCTCAACTTGTGTCGCGTAGGGCGTGTAGCCCATTATACTGAGTGATCCGGACAATGCCCCGGTGTGTTTCTCCTCGTAGAGTTTCTGGTGTTCTTCGAAGATAGCATGATCCCGGAGTAGCGAGTCGACGGACGTATACCCCGGTGCTAGTTCATATACGACTGAGCACAGCGCCTGTTCTTGGAGATTGTTCCCCACGTCCATGTTAGGAACGATGCACGGGATGCCGATTCGGCCGAGGACGTTCGGGTCGCCTATCCCGGATAGTTCTAGGAGCTGAGGGCTCTGCACGGCGCCGGCGCTGAGGATGACTTCCTTCCGTGGATAGACGGTGCACGACGTCCCATGGTGGAGGAATTCCACTCCTGTCGCTTGGCGCTCACTGTGCTCGTTCGTCCCGAGTGTAATTTTGCATACGAGAGCGTCTGTTAAGACACGTAGATTCGAACGATTGGAAATCGGGGCCAGGTATCCGCTTGCGGCGTAGCTGCGCACTGGTTTGCCGGTGCGATCGATGGTAAACAGCGTGCGGTAGAACCCCAGGTGGTTCCCAGCGTACGGGTTCTCTGGTCGCGACAACCCAGAGACAATGTCAAGAGCAGGTATGAGATCCTTCTCGAATGGGGCGTGCCAGATCCCGAACGAGTTATGAATCGGTCCCTCAGTCCCATGAAGACCAGGATCCAGCGGACAGATATCCGTATCCCGGGATGTGATATTCGGCTGATCCACCTCCAACTTCTCATGTTTCTTGAAGTACGGCAGCAGATCAGACCACTCCCACCCTTTCACTCCTGTGGTCTTGCCCCAGTCATTGATTTCCTCTTCCGTTGGTCGGCCTGACATCATGAAGTTTAAGCCGCTGGAGCCGCCTAGCATTTTGCGCGGTGGGTGGCGTAGGTTTTGTTGTTCACGCCGCTCTGTGTTTTGTTTCATGTGAGCCATGGCAATAACTTGGTGTGTGGTATAAGGTGGTGCAGACGTACCTGTGGAGAAGTCTGGAAGCACCAGTCATATTCTGGATCTTTCAGGGTCATGGCCATTCCGGTAGGTGTGTCCACCTTTGGATCACCTAGTCGTGAGACCCCGGCTTCGATGACTCCAACGCGAACATTGGGGTCTTCTGATAGACGGGCAGCGAGGACAAGGCCCGCGGTGCCTCCGCCGATGATGATGAAGTCGAGGTCGTCGTTGATAAAGTCTGTTACTGGGGTTGGGTCCATTGTGGTGCGAGTGATATGGGTGGATTATATGAGGGTTGGAAACATCTTGGCATGAATGAGGATGGATTCATGTCATCAGTACAAAGACGTTGACTGCAGAAAATGCAGAAAGCAAGTTACATATACCCCGAAACTGATCTGGGTCATGACTTCAGCGGCGCTGGTGTAGAGTGAAATAAGCTACCTACACCTCCATGCGACCGGGCATATAGACTCTACAGAAGATATGAAAGACACAGTCAGGGCTCTACTGTAACAGTGGAACATGTTCTAGCCAGACTATAGCCATTGCCGCGAAAGAGCGACCTGTCAGTGTATCCGATGATGTTATGTTAGCGTCCTATAGAGAACTTTGAATAGCCGAAGAAACAGTGGGTGGATCACCGCTGAGTTAGTAATATGTCCAATAATTACAAAATCTTTCCAGGCTCGTTCTAGAGTTTTGAGGGTTGTTGTTATAATGCGGAGGCTTTCTGTCTACCACTTGTATGGAAGGAAGAGTGGGACTGCTGCGGGTAGTGAAAAAACGAAAAAAAAAAAAAAAAAAAAAGAACAGCTGGAGCTGCGGGGAATCGAACCCCGGACCTCTCCCATGCTAAGGGAATATTATACCACTAAACCACAGCCCCTTTGCTGTTGAGGACCTGCTTGTTATTTTGTATTATCATCCAATCCATGTAGGTCGGCGTAGCACATGCGCACATGCTGCTCACTCACACACTCAGTCACATGGGAATAACCCCCTTTGATAATTTTCGGGAAATTGTCGGGGAGACGGACATTCAGCCTAATATCGTTATTGCAGTCCCGTCCCTAGTGATGATGATATTGAAGCACTGCCAGGGTATGCATCCTACCATGCGAATATGTATTTTCTTCCGCCCGAAGCAGGGCTTTTGTTGGGTAGCATCGGACCCCAGTTATTGCAGCAAATAATACTAAATGGTATTTCTAGAAAAGGAATAAATGCTATGTAACTTTTAATGCATGTGGCCTAGTGCCCAATTAAGCAGCAGAATCTCGAACAGAGAATTAAATCAATACGGAAAGCACACTCATCCGTAACCCTTGTGCTTGCCACACTCTTTCCCCCTGTTACCTGTCTCATCTGTCCGGCTCCCATCCTTACGAGATCTCAATAACAGGACCCGTGTAGACATGACGAGCCCTCAAAACATAATAGATAATAGCCAGAATGACGACACCCATAGTACCCACCACACTGTAATTCATATTCGTCACCGTCACTGGCAACTCAGTAGGCCAGTAACTGAAGAAGATGACAATCACGATGTAAATCACCGCATAAGTGTTGATCAAGATACCCCAGACGCCCGGGACACGGAATGGACCCCACATGAGCTTAGCGCCAGGGACATTGACCACAGTGTCGTCACTGGCATTGTAGTTGCTGATGGCGCCGCTGCACCGGCGCCAGAGAAGAAGAACCGCCACGATCAGATAGGAGGAGTACAAACCCGAGACAGCCATGGAGACGACGTCGTTGAGGGCGACGGCGGACCCGATGTTGATCAGACCAAGCAGGCAGCAGATGGTCATGGTGAGGAGGATGGAGTAAGTGGGGAGGAAAGTACGGTTGGAGACCTGTGTTGATGTTAGCAATTATCTTCATGTGTACGATACAAGGCACATGGAAACATACGTGGCTCCAGACTCGCCAGCCAGGGACACCACGGTCGCGAGCGAACGACCAGAACTGGCGAGAGGTGGCAGTCAACATGGCCAGGGCTGCGCAGATACCGACAATAACGAGGATGGAGGACAAGCCCAATGCACCTGCGACCGAGCCGGTTGCTTGCTGGAAGATTTCCATGAAGGGGTAGCCCGTAGGAGATTCAAGGGCCGCATCAACACTGCCCATGCAGAAGAGAGTGGCGATCAGCATGGTGAATCCCAAAGTGCCGTTGATGGCAACACTGAGGAGAATGGCACGGGGAATGACGACCGTGGCATGGTTTACTTCTTCGGCCATCTGTAGAAGTCAGATATTGACCATTGTGCAGTACATGGTGGACAACTTACATGCACGGCAGCATCACCGCCTGCAAAGGCAAAAACACAACCGGTCATACCGACGAAAAAGGATATACCATCGGTGTAGAGATTTCCACCATTGGTAAAGTCCTTGAAGACCGACTCGGTCGATTTGTGGTCGGACATATATGTCATGGGGATGAGCACACCAAAGTATCCCAGAATGTGAATCATGAGGATGAAGGTTTCCAGGCGAGGCAGGAACTTTCCTCCGATAATGTTCACAAGAAGAGCTACGACCACGACCGCCCACATCAGAAGGGTACCCTGGTAGGGCTGCGAGTTAAAGCTGTTCCGACCCAAGATAATGGCACCCAGAATCTCAGTTCCAGCCATGTAAGACGACGATGCAAAGGCGGCCTGCCATCCGATCACGGTCAACCATCCTGCAGTGATGGTCAGTAAACTGCACGGTCGCTGTAACAACAAAATGGAAGAGCGCACCTGTGATGTAACTGAGGAATTTCATATGCTTGTAGGGCGCAAGCATGGCACACCAGTGATATTGGCCTCCGGAAGTCGGCGCCCTTGGCTAGTTAGTATACCACCAGAGAATGGATGTCCTGACTTCGACTTACATGGACGCCATTTCGGACAGCAGCACGAAACAGCAGGCTGTTCCCGTCCATGCAAAGATAAAGGAGTATACTGCACCGGCAGATCCACCACTGTGTGTTCAGTCAGCTGCGTTCATGGTCCAATCATAGGTTGGACGTGGGATAACCGACTTTTCGAGGGGAATAGTAAAAGTCCTGGTCTCTGTTAGTTGCAATGTTCCGAACTCTCACAACCATAGATGGCCTCACGATAGAATACCCTCCCAGGTGCCGAGAATGGTACAACTGAGACCGATAATTGAGAGAATACCAAAGTTCCGCTGCAAGAGCACAAGACAAGCATTAGTTTCTCCAAATCCACAGCATAGTATCGAAAAGCTAGGACATACCTTCAGGACAGTCTTCTTGCCCAATCGTGCAAGAGCCAAATCATCACGCGCTCCCGAGTCGGACCCGGTTACCTCTCGGTTGGCCGAGTTGGCTCGGTTCTTCAATTCGTAGGACGCCATGGTGAAAACTCAATTGCAGAGACCACGACCGGCGTGAGGGCGGAGAGTTGCAGACGCAGCGCGGTGTCCAGGGAGCGACCGATTAATATAACAGACAACTGGCCACCTAGTCCACTGCAACGTCAAGAAGCGAGATGCAGCAGAAATTAAGGCCGTTAGTCGAGATGCAGCATTCTAACGCCACTACCGTGCCTAGTGTCGTTGCTTAGCATGCACCGGGGCGTCCATACATAACCTAACATAGTACACGTACGGAGGGCGCCGGGCTCACCAGCCGGAGTAGGAAGGTTATATGAATCCAGGGGTAACCAACGACGACCCTGAACAGTAACAGAAGCTGAACGCAGCACGCAGCACGCAGTAAGCTTTCTTGGAGGCGGGTCAGGTCAGGCCCGATGGAGGAGATGTAACCACCGATAGGACCTTGTGGGTACTAGGGTCAGTGTGTGGCAAGTGGAGGCCATCGGGACCACCCCCGGTCTAACAATATCTAGACTACTTTGTATCTAATGGGGGTTGCTAATCTAGCGTTAGAAGCTAGACTAGAGAACGGGTGGATGGCAGGCCCCAGTCCCCGCCCGGCGCAGACACCTTGCATGCAACGGACTTGTTAACTTGTTAGATAATGAGCCAGAATCAATCGTGACTGGCAAATTGTAATTGTGACTGGTGGGCCCGACTCGGACTCAGCTATCAATTCTTCCGGTGGGACTCGCCTCTGCGACCGCATGATATTCTAGTTTGATCGAGTTAGGCCAGCCAGCATTCCAATTCCCCTCCCTTCCGTGAATTGCTTGGGGCTTTCTCCCCCAAAGTCCTATGCTTATGGACATGGATGCCAGGTTGGCGATCGGAAAATAGAAACAGCCCAACACATCAAAGAAGATCCCCGTGAGCACTTTCACTGCACAGTTCATTTTGTCTGGCCGCGTGTGTTGGATCGATCCAAGGATCTAGTGCTGATGTGGTACCGCGAATCGCTTAAGCGGGAGACAAGACAAAGAAGGCAGGTCGGATAAGAGAAATTAGGCTCACCTGTTCGATCTAGAATCTGTGGGAGACGGGACCGTGGTCGGAGTGAAGACTAATAACAGACATTAATATCGAAAATAATGCTTGGAAGGGAGACAATTAATCCGTCGGTCGAAGGCCGGGCCAAGATACGAATGAAACTGGCCAGCCCAGAGTAAATTAAACCCGACCAGGGTTGTCCCCCGCCGTCGTCTCACCGTCGGCTTCCATGCAATCAACCACCATCCTGGTCCGACTTTCCCTGCGCGTAGCCAAAGTCTATTGGCCTTTCTCCAATTGATGTCGGCCGCTCGGTTGACAAATGAACACACCAGGATCCGGATCCTAGCTGGCCATGCGATTTCCCATCCTCCCTCAGGAGGGAGGGGGCGTTTTCCAAGAACCCTCTCTCTGCCCACACCAGAATGACTGTCCGGGCTTCTCCCCTTCCCTGGTGCTTCCGGGTGAAAATAATTTACCTCAGTCACAGGCCCTGCATCGATCGATTTCTCGGCACCGGTACTCCGTATTATTATTTACTCCAGATCGTGCCCGGTCTCGCAGCCCTGGCCCAGCGCCATCACCCGACTCTTATTATCTCCATCAGTTCCAGATCGCTGCGTGACATGATTCCCGCCGAGAATCAGCGTCAGCACTCTGATTGCCCTCCATGGGACGGTTCACTGGAGACACCAAAGATCCGGCCGTCAATGTATCGACATGGTTCCTGCTCGTGACTGCTTCGCTGAGCGTCATCTTCCGACTGGGAACCAAGTACGGCTCGTTCCGCACGCTCACAAACGATGACTATCTTATAGTTGTATCGCTGGTATGTCAATCTGCCGCCTAGACCCTCACAATGGCTCCAGCAGACTAACTACTTGCTCTGGATGGGGCGCGACAGATCTTCTGTATCGGCCAATCCATCGCTGTATCGATGGCCGTCGCAAACGGATATGGATACCACTACTCCACGCTTACCCCGGAGCGCTTCGACAACATGATGAAGGTATGAGCTACACCTGCACCAGTGTGCAATATGCCTTTCTGCGGTCGCCTTCACCCTCCGGGATCCTCACTGAGAACAATCGGTATCATTTCAGTCGCAATACGCCGCCGCTCTCCTCTACATACCCAGTCTCTATTTCTCGAAAATCTCCCTTTCATGCTTCATCCGCAACCTGACGCCGACGGCCAAAGACCACCGTGTCGCCAACTTGGTGCAAATATCGGTGACTTTGATGGCCGTGATATGTCTACTGGGAACCTCCTTTCAATGCAGCGTACCGCAGACTTGGAATTACTACACGGGGAAATGCATGAACCTGGTACAATCTCACTACCCTACGCTACCCCGACGATATACGCGACAAGGTTAACCAGCCCAACAGATAGCATGGCACTACTTTACGGGAATCATGAACATTGTGACCGACACCATGATCACCTCACAAGCGCTTTACCTAATCGCGCGCATTCAAACCTCCTGGAAACGCAAGTTCGTGTTCGCTAGTATTTTTCTATCTCGAGTCCTGTTAGTCTAATTCTCCTATCATCCGACCAAACTACCAACTAACCAACCCACTTCTCCGAACAGAGTAATCCTAGTCAGCATCGTGGAACTCATCCTAGTCTCTCAGAACGACGCAACACACGACCCTTCCTTCGCCACCTGGGGCGTAACCATCAGCGTGGAAACGATTCAATGCCTCAGCATCGTGACAGCCTGCTGGGCGCAGCTTAAACCCTTCTTGAACATGCTCAAATCGAACGGCCTCCGGATCCAAGGCGTGGACTACCGATCGACAAATAACCGATCGAAATGGTCGACCACACGGTCGGCCAATCCCACGGAGAGCAAATTCACACGCAGCGGCGAGCACGAGTTGATGGGCATGGGGGCTGGACAGGGGAATATCACGACTGTGTCGGCAGCGAGATTGTCGGATGAGGATAGTCAGTCCAGTCAGGCAGGGATTATTCGGGAGGTGAGGACGTGGGTGGTTAGTGAGGAGGTGGAGTCATGATTATACCCTTCTTTTGTCATTTTCCTTGTCCTTTTTGCTTTTGACAACGTTCGATACATATTCCTCTTTGTTTTGATGGTGAAGCAGAGAGCTGCAATAATACTGGATTGGATCTGTGGATTTGGTTTGGACTTCATGTACATTATTACCTCAAGTCTTTTACTTTGTAACTAGCTCGCGTGATGACTTAATGACTCTTCGTACAAGATACATTCTTATCTTAAAGCTAAATGCCATACAGTACAAGAAAGACAAGCAACAGTAGCAGCAACAAGCAGCAAGCAACAAGCAACAGCACAAGCACGAGCAGTGTCCCCGTAAGCACGGAAGAACCTAAGCCAAGCATGCAGCGGCGACACCGGACCTCCCACCATGAACGGAATAGGGGCTCGCTCGCAATCTAATCTAACCACCACACTAAGTCACCAAGTACAACATAACCTAGACTAGACTATCTAGCATCAAGACGGAATGGTCTATTCTAAACTAAGTAAGTAAGCAACTAGACTCCAATGGCCTCGACTCGGGTAAAACCCAAGAACATTGGAATTGTTTCATTCGCGATCCCTCCACTAACTAAACCGCCCTAAGTCACTCTACAATAAACTAACTAACGCTCTAGTCTCCGAAACTGACGTGGCTTGCATGTGGCCCGTCCTTCTAGACTTGACATTTCCACCCAATGATAATCTCGACAAAGTACTTAGTAAACCTCTCCACTTTCCGAGACATAAGGTGATCGTAGCACTGAAAGGTAAATTTCCCCAGGTACTTGGAGGCGAGCAGTTGGCTACTCCAGGGTAGAGAAAGGAGTAGCAGCCAAACCAATGACATCTAACAACTTTCACCAAGACTATGATTGGTCTGCTGTTCCTTCCTTCCCCGATAGTACGTAGTAAAAGCACCAGCCATTCCCGCTCCCGTGATCTGTGCCCGGTACTTCCGGGATATCGGATCTGGCGGTTAAGGCCGGGTAACTAATCCCATTTGATAATCCAGATCAACGCCGTGGCTACGACTTTTCCTCTTTCTCTTTCGAATTACGATTGCCTTATATGTTCTTATTATGTATGAGAAAGCAGCGTACCGTAGGTAGCTTCTACTGCTCGAATCGACATAGCCTAGTAACGGAGAGCGAATTTCGAAAAGTGATTCTGCATTTGAACATTGATATCTACTTTAGATATGTCATAAGCACAATAGGAAGAAACAATTTAGATATTTCGGTCCCTATAGCATACCATATCTCCTCACGATACTAGACTAGCTAAAGTATTTGACAAAAAGCTGAAAAACATCATCATGCACAGTAGGATGACCCAAAGCGAACACAGACAAAACCATAACGACTGTGACACCTGCTTCCAGGAATAGAACCTCGCCAAGTAATTTGAAAAAGTGTACCCGAGATGACCACGAGAACCCTTGCCAGGCGCCCCTGATAGTCATCGACTCACCCCTTTGCGCAGAGGCAGTGACTCGAATAAAGATTGCATATGTCGGAACAACCATTCCAAAGTAAAGAACCATGATAGTTCCTAGAAGACTGGTAAACTGCACCGTTTCTGAGACCTCCAACCGCTCATCTAAAGCACAAGCCAACTGAATCAAGTAGGTAGGCAGATAGAAGCATATACTCGAGGCAGTACTATACAGTAAGATTGATGGGAAGGTCTTCGACCACATTGACCACGTTGGAATGCAACGTGAGTAAGGAAGGGTTTTTGAATGTGGACGCAGAATTTTGAGCACATTGGCTACTCTCAGGTACGAAAGTAGCAATTCGACTGTTAAGTTGAGCAAGCCGCACTTCAGAGGACTGAAGTCCTTCATAGGGAATATAGAAATCACATAGATCTTGGCCAGCCGATGGAAGACGGAGACTGAAAGACCTCTAAAATCCTGGCGCGAGAGTGATGAATTCAATATAGGATTGGGTGTTTGAGTCGCGATCAGTGTTGCGAAGACATACGCGTGGGTATACACGGCCTGTCATTCATTAGTTTGATACCTAGTTCGCATGCGTTGACGATAGCTTACTAAAAGAAGCCCGAGAAAAACCGCAGCTAGGAGTAGCACTTCTGGCACTTGTTGGCTTGGGCTGTCTCCAGGGAGCTCCCACTTAGCAAAATCCAACGACATGTTCAAGGAATGGACTCGTCTATAAAACGAAGCATTGCCAGAGAAGCATAACACTGAAGTAATAACTGCGAGCTTCAGGCGCACCAGGACGAAGGCTCAGCTAGAGGAGTTAGAACCAAATCTCAAAATAAGAGGACAAGACTTTGTTGGTTATGTGAGTAATTCCGATTTCATGAGATTCGGATCAAAAATATTGGAGAAAGAGGACTCGAAACATAATCAACAATGGTAATAAACTAAGAAGATATCCTTCTCTTCCCAACCTGGCAAGAAAAGTACAGCTCTAGTATATTAAGACATATAAGAATTCATCTTCAGATCTTGACTGTATTATTAATAAACCCGTTCTAATTAGACTATTGTATGATATAGATAATCAGATATTAATATATGTATGAGATAACTAAATTTTCTAGATATAGATAGCTGGTTTCCTCCTTTCTTCAGATCTAAAAGTCTTAGTAGATACACAGACTTCTTTTGGCGTTCTTTGTCATTATGGTTTCTAGGTTGGCACAGGCAGAAGAGGCGTCCAGCACGCCCGCAGGCCGGATTAAAGTAGGCCCGGGGCTATAATATGGACCAATCCCACTGTAGATACTGTAGATAACTAATCAAAAATTCTAGCTATGTTAAGTCAGTCAACCCTAACCAAAGTAACTATTCCCGATATGGCGAGTCAGAACCAATGCAATCAGCCAATCAGTCAATCAATATTCTGGCGAATCGGAAGTGTTAATTCAAATTGAGTGCATCCGAGCTCGCTTGAAACAGATTAGACCAGACCACGACCTAACGGACCAGACCAAACCGAAACAGAATCAAAGGCTTTGTGCTGCTGAATGCAAGTGATTTTTATTGTTATGAACAATTGGCTCATTGATGTACTTTCGGAGTACTCCGTCCTGCTCTCTCCCGAACCAGAGTCAGCTACCTGCAGATCATTAACTCTACTATCCGCCAGCAAGTCTGTCAGATGTGACGGCCAACCCGTACCCGGGCCTATGTCCGAAATCGGTGGCGTGCATGTGCCCTTCTCCCCCCGTGTGACTGACACTCAACTGCTGAGGCAACCACCCACCTGCTGCAGAGATGTCACAGCCCTTGGGCTTGCATTCCATCGTCTCGGATCCTTCATAGACAGGGCGGAATACTCTGCTCCTATTTTTCACTCTCACTGCGTTTATCGCGCTCGTTGTACTATGTAGCTCAGTTCAGAGGGCCTCTCTCACCTGACAGAGATAATAACAGCTTGGTGTATGTTGCACGGTCGAAGTGGCGAGAAAGGTTAGATAGCGTAGAGATCAATGAGCACAAAGGTCAAAGTCAAAACCTACGCCCATCCGATTAGCTTCATCCTATGGCGGATAGAGATGGCTGTTATCTCACCTAGCGTACCTGTTCCTTAGTAGACACAAAGGAGAAAAAGCAGCTGTGTGACGCTGCAAAACAAAGTAAATATGATATCCCCCGAGGGGGAATGATTCCAGAACATGGCATGGCATGCATTGCACGTTTGAAGTAAAAAGCCCCACAAACTCTATCAGTGTGAGATGCCATGTCAGAGTTCGGGGCACCCGCTGCCAGACCCAGAGCAATACACGACGACTGGAAGACGAATCTGATAGCAGGAACACTGCAAAACAAGAGCCTTGTCAGAATGTTGAGGTCAGAAGCAAATAGGAATGGGTTGGGACTCGCGAGGGGAAAGGGAAGAAAAAGCAATTCGTGACAACGCAGGACAGCCTTGGCTCTTTGCCCCCCTCCTCGACTCCGCCTTTGGCGGCAGAGTGCCCCCCGGCACAACTTCATGATCATCGCAGGGGAAGAGAAAGACCCTGGCAGCTGCTTGGCAAGGGAAGACTCCGCCCGTATGAGGCTGTGATTAGAGGCAGTGCAATACAATAAAGAGGTTCACTAACAATTGTCTTTGTGACGGGAGTTCGGGAGCTAATGTATGCACATTGCGACCCGGTGGGAATTCTTGCTCTTCATGCTTGTGCACAGAATCGACTATCGCACCAAGTCAGAACTCAAGCCATAGAGGAGACCACTCTGTTGACCCACATATTTGTCGGCGGCATTGACTACTCCGTAGTGAAGAACGCTATCTGGTATCATGACGTAGAGGTTTTCTTAAGTGACCATGGCGAAGGATCAAACAGTAGCCACAACCCATTCCATTCCCCGCCGATGCCACCAGCCCGGGGCTCACTGGCATGGCCTCAGAGGACTCGGGTTGAGCATACAAGCGGCGGCTCTTACAGTCAAGTGCCGCTTCCCTGGTTACATCGGCGAAGCTGATCATTTTACCTTTTCATTGGCAACACATCCTTTCCCTGACACCGACCCTTATTCTCATTCGTGAGCTGGCCAGGGCCCCTCCTACATGGGCTACAATTAGAGTGCCCAATCAAGCCTACCCAGGCACTGATGACTAACAGTACCCTTCTACTGTCAATTAACGTTCCTGTGAGAGAAAAGCCCCAGGAGATTGCTCAGACGTGTTGCCAAAAAGCTTTCTTGCCTCCTCCGCCTCTCTTCGCGGTGGCATTTCTCCCGGAACCTCCATGCTTTTCTTCAGCTGGCAGCACTATCGCGACTGGTATCCAGGTCCGTAGCTCTTGTTGAAAGACACCCACACCCTTGCTCCTCATCGTCTGGAGCTATCTGGTTGGGTACGTCATCGAGAGAGCGACGCGGAGTAGGCTGTCAAGTCAACGGCCTTGCATTCCACATCCATAATGACAAACCCTTTGGCTATATCTCTACCTAAAGGTCGTGAGTATCGGTTGAATCACAGTAATTATATGGAACCTTCTCACGACTGACCACGGTTCCTGCTTCAGACAGCTCCAGTGACGCCGGTAAGCCCTCACGAACTCGCGGCTTGCTTCAGTCCGCGAAGCGCATACTCTCCCTTTTCCACCCCCGAAGAATATTCGATCACTAACAAAGATCAGAAGACAAAGTAAAGATGAGCAACCGGCAAACCAACCATAAGCTCGTTGTCGTGGGGTCCCAGGCAAGGCTGCCTATGAACGGCCGTGGGCCCACGGTGAACCGACGGCCACAGCTTCACGAGTCGAACCGAAACCATGATGTACGGCGATATCGTCCCGCAATGGACGACCAGAATAATCACTCAGACATCCCAACGTACGACAACCCCGATTCATACAGATTTGAGAGTTCCAGCCGGAGTACTGACGGTCGCAACTCCGATTCCGCTTCGTCAAGTAGTAGGATAAGCGCAGCAGTGTCTCCTGGACTATCCACTCTAGCCAGCGCAGGAATTAGCACCGATCAGACAACCCCATCAGACCCGCAAACCGAGTTCAGACTACCTGGTGATGATGAATATACCCGAGCGACGTCTCTGGACCGCATCTCCCAGGTGAATCTCTCCCCAGTTTCAACGAACAGCGAGTATAGCGAGGAGGTATTCATGGTTGGCAGCAACCCTGCAACCAAGGTTTCGGCATTGATGGCACTGGATACACAAGCATCAGCCAATTTGATGGATATTGAGTTACAGCAGGAGTTGGAATTGGAGATGGAGCCTTGCGATCAGGAACTCGTCCCATTGCAGACCAAAACCGGCAAGGACAGAATCAAGCCGTTTGGCATCGCGAAGGGCGTCTCATGGCATTTTGCACAACGCGAAAAGACATTTACCAGTGACTTCCTGGTTGTGGATATGAAGAACTATAATGCCATCTTGGGAAGGAAGGACATCAAGAAATTGGAGATTCTCAAATCTGGACCTGGCCTTGAACGCCGTACGACGATCCGGATGTTCCACTCGTGAAGATGATCCATGTCATGTATGAGCATGACGATACTTTGACCCATTGTGGATGCGCACCAAGCTCATCCCACCATTGGGGGACTCTACGCATTCTTATACGTACTTTACGACTGATTGTGATACCCGAAAGGGCAGCTGCGGATATTGTATCACACATATACTTTGGAGCAGGTGCTACCCAGCTTTGCACGGACAAAGCAAGGTTCCAACCAGTCAATGACCGACATATTCTTAATGACGGGGTGTATCCTAACTTATGATTGTCTACGTTGTACATGTCCGATTGAGGCGCATTGATGATTTGTCTTGAACCTAGTTAGTTACCTTGGGCGGCGTTTTTGTGGAAAGGGAATTAATCATGGATGGTTGGGAGAGCATTGGATAAGGCAAGGGCGTGTTTCAGTAGTTGATTCGCGGGATATTTGTTTGATTAACGATACGTGGGAGCACTGTGTGTCGCAAGCGGTGACACATTCAAATATTATTACTTACTCTGGACATGTCATCCTCAACTACGTACTTATTTCCTCTTGTCCGTGTGGCACTTCCGTGTCGGCTTATAGTATGAATATCTGCAGCTATTGTTCGTTTCCTTCCGGTCGCACATCCCCGCACTGCCATCGGCAACGATCCTTTCATGCAAAGGAAACATATCGTCGCCAATGATCGTGAGGGGTCGGTTTCTGCTAGTGGCATGAATACCCAGCCGGGTCTTCGTTTATGCCCAATCTGCACGACATGCCGAATTATCGCGAGCCGGATGTATACTATGGCAAGGGCTCCGCTGCTGGGTCGATAGAGAATGTGAGGGAGAAAGAGGAAGAGAGAGATATGCAGCCTCGCGTAACAAACAAAGGGTAGGGGTAAAGGAAGAAGAGATTAGGAGTGCATGCGATCTACGGAGTACGGGTTGATGATGGATGGTGCAGTTGCACATCCCACCTACGAGGGGTTGCGCGTGGATAGTCAGTCAGTCCGTCCGTCGAAGCTGCGGCTCTTGGGTCGTCCAGATAACGCCTGGTCTATATGAACTTGGCAGCGTTCTCGTTGTGAGGTCATCCACAGACAGCAGCTTGAAGCTGACGCTCCCTCTGGAGTGAACCGACCGAGCCATAACAGCGCAAGCAAGTGCACCCAACGCGAAGCCATGGTACGTTTGGTACCTTACACAGGGCTTCTGAACCCTCTTTTCCTACCTTTACCATTTGCATCGTAATTCAGGCGCTTACCAGTTACCGTTATTCAGACAGGACCCAAGACCATAGAAATTCGCTGCCTCAGGCCAGACGAGAAAACCGTCCGCCTCAAGGCTGCTGTCTCTGAGCAATTGAACGTCAATATCCTCACGCAAAGAGGGCTCCAGGAGCTGGGAGAGATCCAATTGCAGCGCAATGAGATACCCAAAACAGTTTACGATTCAGATGGTGTTTCATACACAGTGCGCGATGTAGTCCGGTTGAGTATTTGGAAGAAGAGTGAAACAAAACTGTCAAGACAAAATTTCTACGTTTCCATGAACGACGATGAAGCGCGCTTGGATACCCAGTATGATGCGATTTTAGGGACTCAGTGCAATGTTGGACGGTCCAGCGATGAGAATGCCCTCCCAGTTGCTGTAACCCAGCTAGCATCGCAGAGTGCAAGTGAGTCTATCGTTTTATATTTTTAGCCAACGAAGAAGTGATGCAAACTGAACACTGTTCTAGATGATAAGGCAGCCCAGGAGAAAAAGAAGCGCGAGAAAGAGGAAGCTTTGGCGAAGAAGAACCAACAGTTGCGTGAACAGCAGAAAAAGCAGGATTCCCAGGGTAGATAACAGAATGGGCTTGGATTGGCGACAAGGCGGACTTGTGAAGCGTGCTACTTGCAAGACTAATTGTGCCGGGATTATCGCCAGGTTTGTGAGGATGACGCAGAGGCGGCAAATAGGCTACATCTGTATGCATTTGAGCTGTTGAATCTGTTGGATATGAATAACTGCTGTCTGAAACTCGATAACAACCTGTCACATGTATGAGATCACCCTTACGCAGAATGACTGGGAATGGGGGCTGCTGCGTGCTCCTCCAACAGCGAAGGACTCTGGGCGAAGGATTGGAGCGGGGAGATTGACACGGACTTGATTTGTCCTTCCGGGACGATCGGTCGTACTTAGCATTGGATGATCCAATCCCCTCACATCAACCCGCTGCACGACGACAAAATGAGACATATCAGGTGGCACCTGCATAAATAGTCGAGCCTCTAAGCTATGCCATTCGCCGGACGGGTGTTCAGGCCGTCAAGTGCCGGCTGATGTCCCGCACAGTCAGCGCTACTCACCGCTGGTAAAAAGAAAATTCTCGGAGGCTTCTCGGATTGAGTCAGGGAACTAGCAATCAGGAGAGTCGATCACGAGAGGTAGTTGGGGTCAATGAAAGTCATACAAACCAGTGATGGAAAGGCACTCAGATGGGTATTGAAAGCAGGTATACATCACTGCCTCGCCACGGGGGAGTGTTGGAAGGTGGCGCAAGATGAAATTTCTGGGGTCCAGGGACTGTCAAGCCCTGTTCAAAGAATCGAGTAGCCTTGAGCAGATTGGGCTCTTTATGTACTTTGGACAGAGCAAATGCAACTCTGGGGCGTCTGACGATCGGCTGAAGGCTACCTTACAAGAGGTTGGTCCCACGCTAATGCGCTATTGCAGGGAAGGCAATCCTTTAGTTCTGCTCATGCAAAGGAGAAGAGGGCAAAGCCGCAGCGCATATTATGAAAGTGATTGGACAAGGCACATTGTCAGAATAAGAGCGATGTTCTTCGGTGGGCTGAGCTGCAGACACGGCATGATTTCCAGTGCTTCCATTTCGTATTCCAAAAAGGCCAGGATTACCCGACCAGCCAGTAAACTCTTGGACCTATTATCACATAAGGTCAGGCGCGAGGGAGAGAGCGGTTGTGCCTGTGCCACAAGCTAAACTTGTTCTCATTTCCAGCCCTTCGTGACTTAACCGCATATCAACCCCCGCCCTCCTTGCGAGGCCCAGGGTTGATAACTGCCGGCGCACCCGGGCAATCGCAAGCGCGACCGCCCGTAATGGCTCCAGATTCTTAGCCAACCTCTGTATAGACTTAAAATTCCATCATGACAGACATCGCCATGCCCGGAACATACCCATGTAAGTGCTGCTCTGTTAACCGTCGTTCTGCATTGCAATCTCCGCAACATGCAACACAGACAAGGAATTGACCGGCTTTCAGCCCCGAGACCGACGGCACCACGCGAGCGTGGCAAATCGAGAAAAAATGACAAAAACTACAAAAAAGCCATGGGCCATGGCCACAATCAAAGTGGAACTATAAAAAGCCATGTATGCTCTCTGGCTTCATATGAAATTTACTTGGTGCTAAAGTGCGAAGTAGGCCCTCCGGATCGCGTTGAAGGGAACCAAACACTTGTTTCTCTTTCCCTTCTGGTTCAACCAAACGCACAGGCAGCAGAAACCCTCTCTACCTTCGCCTCGGGATTATTACCCGTCAGAAAAGCACCCACTTTCGCCTGAATATTGGGGTATAGCGGACGTCAAACACTCTCAAATGCCTTTGGATGAGCCAGCTAAGAAGGAGGTGTCGCATGAATTTCGCGAGGGCTTCCGGCACACCGAATTGTGTGAGAGACTAACGGGTGCTAATCAGACCGTGCCTGCTACTAATCCAAGGAAGCACGATGATCAGGAGGGTCTTTTGAAATGTGATTTTATCTACGACATTCTCCTATTCACTTTTGACAAGCAATTGAGGCGACGCATGGTCGTGGACTTTGAAACAGAAGCTAATTTCATGGACCACAATGTCTTCGAAAGAATGAATGTCCGCATGGACCCGTATGATGGCCCGCCAACCCAACTTACCACTCGCGGGGAATTGACGCCCCTCGGGAAAGTGCTGGCAACATGGATTATCGTTGGCTTCGAAACGCCATATTGTGCCGAATTCTACGTCGTTAAAGGTACCAGTTTTGATGTTATCCTCGGCACTACTTCATGTCGGGCTATCGATCTTTCCTCTGTGGATCCTATGGTTGCCACACGACTCGATAATTTGAAACAGACATAGCGACTACACTAATGTACCCATAGAATGGATCTGTTTTTACTTGCTGGCGTTTACTGTATGTACATTTTCTGGGATAAAAGACTGGCTCTATCTCATACAATATGTTGGAGAACACAGGGACGGGCTGATTGGTTCGAAATCAAACTTTTCTACCTGGCAGTGTTGCTACCTACGTATTCCAGAGCTTAATAGTAGAGAGTGTGCTGGCCAGCCTGCAGGGCTGCCCTATGCGTTAAATGGCTTGTCAACGTAAGACCGGCTATCATGTGAATGACCCAGTCATAGAAGAACAAGTCACTCATGCGGGGTCCGTAAATGCAACTTTCTACCACACTTCTAGTGCGCACATCAGAACACATGAATCACAACGTATTACAGGGACGAAACTCAAATATTGCTTTGCTGGAGCATATCAGGCTGTCGCTCTCATTTAGCCTTATTGAGATTGCTAAAGGGCTGCGGGTGTCATCAGCATACCAAGGGAAGAGGCGTCACGTCATATGCCGTGCTCACCGGACGGTACCTAGATAACAACATGACTATGTACCATATGATTGCAAGGATAGCCCAAAAGGGAGGCAGAAAGCCTCGTATGTTACGTGAAAAGCCTAGTCACGGAAGCCAGATATTACCCGAGGAGATGGTGTTATTTGCGAGTTTGCCTTCCCTTTGCACTCTGCATAGAACTAGCTTCTAGTCAAATTCTAAGGCTTCCTGAAGGCTGTGGGATGAGGGGTAGACGAGACACAGCCACACGGGACATGGGGGCTCGTACATATCTGTACACTAGATTGAGAAGGTCGAGGCCTTCCAAGATGATCAAATTCGTATAAGTAGACATTATTCTGAGTCCGCTTCAAATTGATATTGAATCAAAAATGATGAGACAGCTACATATGAGAAAACATAATAAGCAAGAACAATGTCGACCGCTAACCTCCGTCCCGTCGAAGGATACGACAAACTCGCCGCGTTCATAGAAGCCGACCCGGGCCTAGCGATTTTCCGCCGTTTCACAAAGCTTAACATTAAAAGTATTCTCTATTACCAAGCAGAGATAGCGAACCTCGAAGAGGATCTCGACTTTCTCATTCAGGATGATAAGGACTCACAGGACGAGAAGAAGCAGCTGTATCCCTTCTCCGTACGGGACCTAAAAGAGGGAAATCCTACGCAGTGGTCGAAATTTCAAGAAGCGCGGGATTTGATGGACAAGTTTAGTTAGTTTTCACCACCCATTTGTGGTACTTGGAAGAACCCCAATCTGACTGAATAGACCATGTTATCATTCAACAGCGGGAGCTCATGCGCCTCAGCACACCGGATAAATGTGACTTGAGCGTGCTTCGAGAGTGGCTTGACCGGCCTGAAGGGGGAAATATGTTCTTCGAAACAGCTGCCGAG